TGATCCGTACACAGTTTATCTAGCTACCCGCGACGCGATGGCTCTCAAAGTACGTCAGCAACAGGGCAGAGATCAGACAGAACAGCAGGCTTTAATTGATATACAAAACACGCCTGAACAAAGCGANGACAGCTCTATAGGCTACTCGTCGCCTCTGGCGCGCTTTTGTCACGACGACTTTGGGGATAGCTTGGTTGACACATAATAGACATATATATACAAGAGCTCGTTAAAAGCTACTATATATCAATTGCAATAAATATACCAGATCCGATTTCGCAAAAAGGTCTATATTATGGCGTAGTCGCGACTTAAACAGCTATCGTAATCGTTGAGCATAGTATTCGCGTTGAGCTCGGGGGCCCGAGCTACGCGAGGGCCCACACGCAGGGTGGGTGGCGATGAGCCATCCCTGGGCCCGAGTAGTAGGATTTAGTACACTATGCCCAACTGGACTCAACCCTAAATCCAGTTTGTGACGTTTTAGTTGGCTCGCATGCCTCTTAGTAGCTCGTGCCACTGAGGAGATCTCTATGCCTATTGACTCTTAGTACTAACGGTATCTTTCAGTATATGGTATAGTCCATCTAGAGTAAACGCTCCTTCGAACGATAATGTTATGGGTGTACTAGTGCTTGGCACGATCCACATAGCAATATAGCCCCGCTGGACGGGCACGAACAACCCACGCTTCAGCTGACTTCGTCGGCCTGCACGAGGCAGACCAATGACACACTGTATCGTGATGTGTCGTTGGCCCCCCAACAGGTGATTGGGTCGCACAGACACGGTCAACAGTCAGATGTCCGTTACCACGACTACCCCGCAGTTAATGTTATCTTCGCTAACCCATCGTCACCTTTGTTCAGAAGATGTGTTCGCGCCCTCAAGAGTACGACCTTGTGTCTTGCTGGAACGGACACTCACATTGTCATTAGTGTTCCAAGCATCATCCTATCACCTGAAATGGCTGAAGTCGCTACGCCTCACAAGACTCCTAAATGGGCGATAAGAAAACGCAGAACGCAAGCACCAGCGATAGTTTTCAAGTGCAATGACTTGAAAGCCTTTACAGTTGGTCCCTTTCCTACTTGCCAAAGCGTGCACACTCATGGGTCTAACCGGGCACCCGAAGGATATCCCAATAGCCGGCTTTCACATTGCGACAAGCTACAACAAGAGTACCAGCTAGTTTGACCATTTGAAGCAGACAGTATTGCCGAAGAGCTTGAGTTGGGATTTGAATTGGATAGAGAGGCTGGTATGTGGAGAACAATTGGGGCCGATATCGAAGACCTTGAAACAGAAGAGGTCCTTGAGGAATCAGCGAAAGGACCTATTCAAGGTCATCCCAGTGAAGAGCATCTTCTGGAGCCACTGAATCGCTTGGCACTTGGCGAGGAAGCATACACGTGGTTTATATCCCACTGTGTCACCGGTGATATCGAACAAGCTGCACTTTGCTTAGAGAGCACGGATTCAGCCGAGATATTTCTTCACAGAAAGGACTCTGACGGAAACACTGCGCTAGCTCTAGTCTGCATGGACGGTCACTATGATGTGGTCAAATTTCTAGTGGAACAAGGATCGCTGATTGACTCCAAGAACAAGAGTGGAGAGACCCCATTGATCATTTCACTGCGATACGGTCGGACTGAGGTCGCAACGTACCTCGCCTCGCATGGTGCCTCAATCTCGAGTTGTGACGGAGGTGGAGCTAGCGTACTCTCTCACGCCAAAGAACTTATAGAGAAGCTAGAAGCTACCAGGATATACTGTCATACGCCATCCTTTCCAAACCGTAGCTTGCCTGCAAAATCAGAAGTTATCAAGGACACCGATGGAAACGTCCTGCTAAGATATCACGAAGATCCGAACACTTCTGTCGGTATAAGGTATCGGGAGCATCAGGAGAAAATCGATCGCGTACAGATCATAATTAATGCTTGCATCGTACACGAAGCTACACAGAAACGCATAAGGAAACATAAGCAGAACCGTGCGCGAAAATTCAATGCATCAAAGGTCTCCATTTCCCGGTCTGTAGTCCAGACAATGGTGACTGTATTCCGTGATGCATACCAAATCCCAATGGCCGACAAGAGAAAAACTTTTGGATATCTTGAGTGTGGAGAAACATACAACCTTGTATTTGCAGTCAGCGGTTGGAGTGGAGGGGAGTTTGCAGATATCGATGGGTGTGTTGATCGAGAACTCTGGACGAAGAGAGTATTTGAATTCAGCAGAATCGTGGGCCACAACCTCAAACACCATGAATACGATCATCTTGGTCGGAAGGGTAGCTTTTATGCATGTCATGCTGAGAAGCAGCTAATGGCGTTCAGTTTGTGGCACTATACTTCTTTGCAAGAAAAGCCAGCACGGCAAGCTCCCGAAGCAGAGTACGCAAGGTATGAGAGGATGACCAGACTGCACCAATGCATTCGTAACAGTACAAACTCTAGGGTCAAGTGCGCAGAAGATTGCCGGAGCTACTGTGGCCCGCCCGTGGAGGTTATTAGACCGGTCATACATGTTACGAATGCTGTCTGCCATGATTGTGCGAATTTTCAGATGCGGATTTTGGAATATACAGGTATCGATATAACTTTGGAAACGATAGGTTGAACTAGTACCTCTGATTCTGTCTATGCTGCTGTACATAAAGGTTGCGCCTTTTGCTTTTGATGACCGCTTTCTTGTTTTGCGATGAAGGGGCTAAGCCTCTCAGCGGATGCATGCCTTCAGCCATGGTGACGTGCACTATGGGACCCAAGTTACCCTCACAAATGACATGAATATATTTTGCATGCTTACGTTTCACTGTCGTACAGAAGTTAGGCGGTCCAGTCAGATACAAAAGACTATTCTGGCTGGCCAAACCCCATTAGCGGGGTAAGCTGCCCGAGCCGTCTCACCAGGCTTCCATCTTTCACACACTAAATTCCATCATCAATTTGATGTACATGAAATATCCAGAATGTCTTCATCATTCGGTTGTCGGCTCGAGGCTAAGGATTATTGGCCGCATTTTCAGGATGCCGGAGCTCTCAACGCCTGGGTGATCGACTCAGATGGGGATGTCGAACGAGCTCGATCTCAAGGTGAGTGTTCCGAAATAGGTAGTATTCCACTCCTTGAGCTTGCAACAATAACTTTAGCAGCGTTTCAGTTGTGGCGGGGAAAATACCCAAGCATCGAACTTCCGGGAATAATAGATGAGCAGCACGTGCAGGGCATGAGCAGCTTTCTCCCGGAGCACTGTAAATGTACCTACTAATTATTCCCTTAACCACGAAGCTTACAATCTGGGTCTAGGAAGTACGATGCTTGGAAAATGGCCAAAATAGGTATCACGGCTGACTATGTCCGAAATGCACAGTCAAAAGCACGTCATCAGAGAAAGAAGTTAGCTCAGAGTAGGAGTTATACTTATCAGGTAATATAACTGCTATCGCATTGACCTATTCTGATTGGAACATAGTGTCCTAAAATGATAGCCAAGCTTGGTACGGCTGCCCTTGACTTGACTTCAGAATGCAAGGCCAGGCTAGAGAAACTGAGAAATTTTCCAAACGACCTAAACCAGTGGAGGCGGTTTCATGAGGAGTTTGGTACGTTCAATGTTTCGCTACAACGTAATAACTAAACTCACCGGTTTTAACTTATAGGCTTATTTATCTGTCCAATCATAACATTCGGCGGAGCCATCTACTCTAGTAGAAGCTTCGAACGGGTGGGTAAAGGGGAAAGCGATCGGCAAGAGGGCAGAAAAATTGCCTCTGGGGAGGCGGTGTTTCAGTCTGGACCATGGCTCTATGACTTGGACATGAAATTATCAGCATATTCAGAGGAAGACTTGTCCCAAGATTCGTCCAGCATCTCTCGAACCGCCACCAAAGCTGGCCTTCGGGTAAAATTTGGTGGTAGAGATCCCCGTTCCAAGTGAGTTTGGGCCCAGTCATGTTGCAACCTTTTCTGAATCTTTTGTGTCAGTCTCCAAGAATGGGTCGAAGAGTCAAAGGAAGTGACGACATGGCGTATCATACGCGTAAGTGGCTTCAATATGGTCGGGTATCCTATTAACATAATGAAGCGATCTAAGCCAACCATGCTATTGGACGTCATTCCTGACATTCCCGGAATGGAATGGGCCACAGAATGCTTCCAGCTCCCACAACATCCCATCCGTCCTTTAACTAAAATAGCAGTCCCAAGCCTTTCAAGATCACCACATCCTCAAAGCCAATTCGCCATTGAGACTCTAGATGAGACAAAGGGCAATGTAACTCTCCTGCTATTCCAAAATTCGTTCAATCATCTCGTATTGGTCACCCTCGGAATTCTGAACTCCTTTGCGGAAACTCCCATAGTGAGCAGTCAAATAGCTCCTGGAACACCCCTAGCGATAGGTTTGGGTAGAGTTAAAGACTCGAAGGTAAGCAACCTACTTGGTGGTGAAGTTATCCTCATCAATAATCCAGATCTACGTATTCTTTGCAGGTGAGAAGTACTATCTTCGAGACATGATCTACTCTGTTCAGCAGGGCAGATGGTCCAAGGGGCATCTGCAGCAAAGCAAGATCAAAGTTCATCAGAACTCAGCACTCTTATCCCTCGGTTTGCGCATTTATTTCCAAGATTCGAAGGGAGACATACTCAGCATTGAGATGCGGGAGAATGAAGAGATGAATGAAGACAAATGGGAAGGACCGTTCAATCTGCATACCAGAGAGTCTTTCCCTTTGCAAAAGGCCTGGATTGGCACACCTATATCAGGAAAATTCACAAAGTACTGCGATACTCAGGGTTTCCATGAGCGGGTAATACTTTATTACCTCTCGTCTCAGGAAAAACTAGTTAGAGGTATCGACGGGTTCAGTCAGCAATATCATGACCAAGGAATCCCAGGCGTGGAAAATCCGCCAATGTCTGCCTGGCAGGAATCTCCTTGGGCGAATTCTGAACAAGAGGGTGCGTTGTTTCCGGAATTTTCTATGGCGCCGATTGTGTTTCGAACCGCTGGAGGGTTCTTGAACATGTGCTGGCAAAGTAAAGAAAATGAGTCACGATGGGTGGAACAACTACGAATCTGCCAGACGTTGCCTGGAAGTCATTTCCGTTTACACTTCTCTTGTCTGCACTCTTGCTACGAGACAGCGTATATTTTTTTTATCTCTCAGGCTGGAAAACTGGAGATGATCGAAGTAGACCCGCATGTGTCAGAGGACACACCGTACATTTCTCAGCCTACCATCGTCGACGAAAGCTGTGGCACTAAGCCTTGGAAGCGGTTAATTATCGATACTGGCGATTCCAGCAGTGATTGTAGTTCCCGCAGCGATTTAACAGAAGTGGGTTAGACATAGCTAACTAACGCGAGTCATTAAATAAAGTAAAATGGAAAGTTGGTGTTCAAAACCCAAACCTACATATTATAGTAGGCCCTCTTTTTGAGGGGTTTATCGTTTCATTGTATGCATCTTCTCTGTTTAGATCAAGGTTATCGGGAGATGGCCAGTCAATCAGCTGGCGGTATTGCTACCAGAGATTGAATACTTCCGACGAATGCTTAGCTTGCCAGAGCTTCTCTCACAAATTCTCTTACACTCTCTGCACAATACACAGCTACTGATCTATGCAGAATTTTCGCTCCTACGAACAACTTGACGCAACCGTCAAGCTAACCAACCTGACCTTGTTCTGGCTGAACGCTTGCTTAGCTTCAGGCAAGAAAGTCTGCAGGCACAGCAATGATGTGTATATTTTAAACCCCCCCAAGAGAAATGGAACCTCTAGACGTAACACCAAACCAACTGTCTTTTGGATGAGTAGTAGAGAAGGTCGCGGGGGGCGGTGGAAAAATAACGCTCTCAAAATACTGAACGGCGAAATCACCACCTTCACGAATGAGATTCTTGAATATATCCTTACTGCCCAGTGCTTTGACGTGAACTTTTGCTATCTCCACTACAGCAGATCGCATCCCAAGATCGTTCTCGGGAGTGGTCGCATATATTTCTCGAATGCATTCTGGAAAGGAGTCACTCGTTCAGAGATCCTGTAACTTTTATTGAAGCTTCGCTATGGCAACTGCTTTCAAATCATCTAAGAAGAATATGTCGGCGAGGGCGTATACACGGGACTCTTTCAGTAGCGCAGGGTCATCTGATAGAAATTAGGAAACCGAGCGCATAAATTTATCTTCTACCATACCTTTGATATCTTGTGATAGATCTTCCGGATAGTCACCCGTGTACAAATGCTCAAACAGCCTCCAGTAGGAGGGCTCACTACCATTGTTGAATGTGAGCACCCCAGAGCTTCCCTCAACGAATGAGTCCTGGAACACCTTTTCGAGGTATTTGCTTTGCGCGCAGACAACAAATTTGTAAATAGGTAAATTTTTGCCGTAAATAACGACGGTAGCATCGGAGTATCTTGTGTCGTTGAGCATTCTGAAGGAGTTAGGTGACATTGTGTAAGTCTAAGAGGTAAATACCTAGCGATCTTCGTCATGAACTCGGCCGAACGTTTTTCTGTTACAGCGACGAGCGATGTGGTATATGTGTATTTCTCAGGTACAGTCGCTGGCAAGCTCGATTGGAGATCGAGAACTAACTATCCCTGAGTTGCCCGCGCCATTCTGCTTATCTCTTCGTCTTTTTCACGCCGACTCCTGGCTTTGTCCCTCTGGGATTGCGCCCGTCGGCGCCTGGATCCGACTTGAGCTTCTGCTTGTTGCTGTTGATGACTCTTAGCCTTGTCTCTCTGAGATTGGGCTCTTCGGCGTTTGATTTCGGCTTTATCTGGCATTCGGAAGCTTAGAAAGTCCAACAGCCGTGTGCAAGAAGGTCGCTGTAAGGTCGAGGCTGTCGGCTGTAGCGGACCAACACCAATCGGGCGGGGATCCTTTAGGGCGATAGCAATTTATTGATGGCTCTGCAGCCTCAGTAGCGGTGGGATATGAAAAAAGAAGATGATATCATGGACCAATGTGTTGGCCCTTTGCAGCCGCCGTGGGACGGCTTGTTGCCAAGTCAATCCGAGCGCCACGACGCCGCCTCAAGTTTACCCGGCCGACTAACTATAGTTAACTAACATTAACGTCAAGGATCAGCAAGCTGGCCATAGTGCAGATGCCTACCGAGAAGATAGGCCTGTGCGAGTTTTTCTTCACCCAAAGAGTGCCAGGTGTTACCAGCTCCCGCTGCCAGTGCGGGGAGAGACGACAGCCTGTCGCCCACATCCTGCTCCACTGCAGGAGGCTGAAGGACCTCCGGAACCAGGTCAATATTAACCTCCGTGGACGAAACAACCTCCGGGTCATCCTGAGTAAGCCACAGCTAGCCACCAAAGCCATCCAGTTTGTAGAACAAGCGCAGATCCTTGGNCCCGCTGCCAGTGCGGGGAGAGACGACAGACCGTCGCCCACATCCTACTCCACTGCTGGATGCTCAAGGACCTCCGGAACCAGGTCAATATTAAATTGTGCATCAAGAGCGTGAGTATCAAATGTCCCTTGAAGTTCCACCACTGATATTGCGCTGTAGGCGAGAATGGCTGAACAGCATATCCTCGCATCTCTGTTACCTGGATTCGCCCCCCATATCGCAACCTTAACTGTAGATGCCTTTCACAAAATTGGCTTCGACCTCGACACTATCGGCCGAGAGCGAGAGATTGCGTATCTAGAAGAGAGGACAAGGTTGGAATATGAGAAAGCAGGAATGCGGGTGAATATTGCTATATGGAATATGCATATTCCTATAGATGGGAATCATTATTTTGAGCAGATTCTTGAGTCTGGATTACAGTCCATGGAGCGTGGAGGCGGCTTCAGAATTGTTGCGTTTCGTGGAAACGGACTCATCAAAAATAATGGGGCCTGCGGTTTTGACAATTGGCGTTGCAGTGGCAACCAAACAAAGGATGGCAACACTATTACTTTTCAGCCTGTGTGAATTGATGATTCTTTTTATTCTTTTGGAATTCCATCATTAAGGAAAGTATAGAGGGTTCTCTTACCATCCTCGTTACCTAAATGATGTTGACTAGACCATACAATGTATTTAAGTCACTCTAGTGATTGATCCCCCTAACAAATAAACACAGTATAAGCCTCTATGGCAAATTCACCTCTGCTTATCCCCCATATTTATGCTAACCTGTCAAGGGCAATGAAGGGACATGTACTATTAATACATTGATCTATTCATAATTCTTCTTTCACCAGAAACTTGAAATCTGTGATAATCCATGATGAAGAAATAGCGTGAGTCTTGGTGCCACACATGATTTAGATGAAAGCTCACATTATGGCTGGTAATATCGGTAACGGGAGATATTTCAAGCTCTTTCTATTCCCTTAAGATAGGACACGGATACTTCAACTCCTACCTAAAGAGATTTAAGAAAAAAGAATGCGATCTTTGCAGATGCGGGAGACCACAAACAGCAGAGCACCTACTTCTATACTGCGGCTTCTACAGCGCAGAA